AACGCTTAGTAAGATAATAAATTTAGACATTAAAAATATTGCATATAATTGAAAATGGCATGTTTGTTACTGTTATTAACTAATAACAATTAGTTTAACTTAATATAAATATCTGTGGAATTTATTTTTAATTTAATATTAAATTATAATATATAATTAAACATTACAATATTAATGGTAAGTATTCCTTACTACAATCAATGTTTCAATCATAGATAAGGTTTCAATATTGTTCTAAGTTAAATATTTATTTGAAATTTCAGTGCCATATATGCAATAGAGGCTTTTCTCTCAAAGGATCATTGATTATAACAAGAGTCAAACATACAGGTACTTTAAACAGATTGATAAATAAAATATTGATAAGCTCAAATAAAATTAGACTGGTTTAAAATACTACATGAAATTTGTTAAAAATCTTGTAAAAAAATGTGATTTCCATTTTCTTGCAAATATTAATTTGCATGTTTTTCTATACTAGGGAATGCTATTAATGCCTTGAAATAATTTGTTATGTAAACAATTTAATGTCGGTATGTAAACTGTTTAAACTGCATGATACATTGAATTTCACAAGAACAATAAATGATTTAATAGAATATACAGAATATAGTAATTCACAGAGATAATCTCTATCATTTAGTTATTACATAATTGAATTTCAAAAAAAAACTCATTGATTGGCATTATCACTTTCAAATAATTAGTTATGTATAAATTTGCAGGTGCTAAACCGTATTCCTGTACTTCTTGTCCCAGCAAAATTTGCTCAAAAAGGCAACCTTGTAGCGCATCGAAAACGCGTGCACCCAGTCAATATAGAAGTGTTAAAATAGGTACTACAAAGAAAGTTTTCTCGTGTCAGAAGTTCTTGTGTATTTTAAAAGATTGGGAAGTTTGAATTCTCATATGAACAAACTACATTCACCTGCAGTAAGTAGATTTTAGAACTACTTGTTTAGTTAGTACAATATAAATGTTTGAAAAAGTTAACAATCTATTAAGGTTATAAAAATGATTCAGACTTGAAATTGAAATTATATTAATAAAATTCTAAAATTATTTTTTGAGTAGGTACAAAAAATTTGGATATAATTCATAATACAATTCCATTTCACTAACTTAATTTACTTTTCAGAACATATCGACGACAGAAAATAGTCCAATGAATAACATTAAACTTGTTATGAATCAATTGTCAGAGCTGCAAAATATGACATCTAATATAGATGTTTTACAACAGGCAGTCAACAATAGTGGCCTCGAGAAAAAGGTAACAGTATATTTGAAAGTGTTTACGTTTTATAATATGATTTAATATGATAATCTTCAAAACTTAATTACTTTCAACACTTTACTAATTATTATAATACTTTCTTTATTAATTATTAGTTATTTTTTCTGTTAATTGTACATATTTATATTCGTCAGAGTCCTTGTACAAAAAGCAAATCAAATTCAATTGTTGGGAAGTACTAAATTGCACCTTTCGTAACTTACAAACATTTGGATCAAATATTACTTACCAAATTGTCTACACAACAATATATTTCAACACCATACTTTTTATACAAAATCACAGTAAAACACAATTATAATTTTTGAATAAAAACGCAATATATATATATATATATATATATATATATATATATATATATACAATTATTATTTAGCATTTTAGATAATTGATATTTCTAATGGCACTTCGAAAATTGGCGCACTTCAAGTTTTTATTCAAAAAATTAAAATTGTGTTTTACTGCGATTTGTATAAAAAGTATGGTGTAGAAATATATTTGTTGTGTTGATGATTTGGTATATATATATTTGATATATATATATATATATATATATATAATATATATATATACATATACAATATGCACATTTACAATATATGCAAATCATTCCTCTTTTATTTCTTACACCCCGCATTCACTCACTCTACTACCGCACGTGCCGCGTAACCTGATTATAATTGGAGGGCAATATGCTCCTTTAATTTCTCTTTTATTATTATATTAGTTTATAATATTCTTTTACACAAGTTTAGTGTTCAATAAATTTTATAATTTTTTTGTGTTTTTCCTGGTTTGGTATGTATATAATTTGTAATAAAATTACTAAAATTATTACCAAATTTTTGGCACCCCAATGCGATCGCTCGCATCTCCCTCATTAGTGGAAATTTCCTTGCAACTAATACAAAACAAAATATTTAAAAATTATAATAAACAAATCTTTTATTTCCACTATGTAGACGATATATAATTTTAACAATTTTAATAAAAAAACAGTTTACTGCGGAATTAGAGACAATGAGTTCGATTAGCTTACTAGACATCAGACTAATACGTACAAATGACCATCGACTAATTACTAACTAGTACCAGAAACCAACCAGCTCCGGACTATACATAAATTACGACTTATACTACCATCTTAAAATGAAAATAGCAACAATAATAAATGTAACAGACCACGTCATACGACTACCTGATAAAAATTTCTGGAACACCAACATTGATCTGGTAATAAGCACACTAAAAAATAACTGTTATCCTACAAAGATTCCCCCACATTTTCAACAAACAAAACAACCTCATCGACCATAAAAATCATTTAGACTTGGAGTCATATACTGGTATCATTTGCCTACCGTACATAAAAGATTTATGTTTTTTGTGGAAAAAACTGTTTCAATAATGTGGCATTTTGTTGCTATGTAATTGCGATACAACCCTTAGTTCAATTTTTACACAAATTAAATCTAAGTTTAATTCTGACCGCCTTAGGAACTTGGTATATCAGATTAATTTTTCTAATTGAGAACTTTTTCATATCGGAGAAACTAGCCAAAACCTGAGTAAGCGCCTTCATCAACATAAAAATAACTCAACAAATCCGAAGCAATTTAAGACGATGTTAACTGAGCATATTAAATTAAACCATAATATAGATTTTTTCAATCCTAAAATTTTACATTTGTTTTACCATTTGTGATGTTAAAAAATATATATTTTATCAATGTGCACATACTCATACCATGGATTAATAATGGTTTCATATGTTATATTAGGATACAAAATTGTAATTGTTTTATTATTATTATCATTATTATTGTTTTTCTATAAAATTTCTTACATATTATTTATTTAGTTTTAATTTTTATAGTTAAATTGACCACTGAATGAAGGCTAAGATGCTAGCCAAACATATGGATTTTAAAGAATAAATTACTAAAATACTCTCATACTATTTTTATTGATATAATGCTCGACTTTTTAACTCAAACTAAACATATATATATCAACATCAAATTCAAGACTATTCAATATATATATATATATATATATATATATATATATATATATATAAGTTATATTGTATATGTGTATGTATGTAATATCTTTTCTGTTGTTTTTTTTTTGTTAATATTTTTTTGATTTGTTTTTGTAATCAAGTATTGTGCTCCGACCTTAACGTCGCCGAAAGAGGAGCCAGGAAACCATACTGTGAATAACATTACAGTATTTGACAATCTGCATGGTGATAAATTGCGTTGTTATGTTGTCAAGCAACGAAAGATTGGTGGCATCAAATGGCGGCAGTGTAACTACTGTACTAGAGAATTCAGAAAACCTTCTGATCTGATTAGGCACTTGAGGATACATACTAAGGAAAAACCATTTAAGGTTGTGGAAAATTTATATGTATATTTAATAAGTTTTTAGTACTTTGAACTATATTATTTATTGGATTTCATAATCATTTTTGCTTCATTTGGAGGAACATTTCATAAATTTATAAATTTAAACTGAAATATCATAATATTTACTATATTATATATTATAGTAACTATACTGATATTGTAGTTTTGTAAAATATTTGCACAAAATCATCAAATATTTTTGTAAATTTCAGAAGACTCAAAGAATTGAAAATATTCTTTTAAAAAGCAAAAATCTATCAAATATATGCAAAAAGATCACACATTGTAAGCATTTCAACTATTCTAAAACTTCAAAAAAATATCATAAAAGTAATGAAGATTTTCCATTACAACAATTTAACATTAAAATTTTTGAAATAAAAAATGAATAAATAAATAAACAAGTTATTAAAAAAATGTTAAACTTTAAACGAATCATTATTGACAAATTAATTAAATTTCTATGAGCTTTATAAAATTATTGAGACTTCAGGATTTTATTGTGTATTTGTTGATATATTTTAAAATAATTATTTTGTTTTACAGTGCCCTCAGTGCTATCGTAGATTTACTGTAAAATCAACACTAACAGCCCACCTTAAGACCCATACTGGATTGAAGACTTTTGTGTGTCCTATATGCCAGAAACTTTTTTCATCATCATCAAGTTTAAAAGTTCACATGAGGTAATTTTCAGTAATATATTTAACAAAACAAAAACATTTTCAACTAAGTTTTTATTAATGATATGCCAAATACCGATTCGATTCACATGATTTGAATATCTCTTATGTAATTGTGGCTCAAATTTCATAAGGTTACAATGCCGATTCATCACAATCAATATTTTGTTTTACATATCCTAATCAACTAAAACATTACCTTTATTAAATTTTATTTACTCAATAAGCTTATAAACTCTGACAGGTTACATACTGGAACGAAGCCTTTTATATGTCGTGAATGCGACAGGTCATTTCGTACATCGAGCCAACTCCAAACACATTTCGCTACCAATTGCACGAGCGATAATAATCCGAAAATATGTGATCAGCAGATTGTTGAACAGACTTCAGGTAAACAGAGTGTCTGTTTTATCTACATAACTCTTGTTTACTCAACTCATGGATTGAATAAAATATTTTTTAGCCTGCATTCTTAAATCAATTTTAACTGTTGAGAACTGTTTGATAGATATTAGTTGAGAATCGTGCTGATTAGTTTTTGGTACAGATCGGACGGGCCGTTTCTTTGAAATTAGCTGTTGAAATTTTTGTTTGACAAATTTTTTGGAATTTAATATATGTTTCACATTATTACTGCATCAATTTTACTCTTTCTATATGTGTATTTTTATTGTAATTTTATATTTAAATCTATGTTCTAAAACAACGATTTTTTTTAAAATAATTAATTATTAGGAACAATATACAATTGCAACAAATACAAAATTACAAAAAAATTGTGGATCGATACAAAGTCAACCCACAGCTTTCGCACATTTTTTGATTACTTCAAATGATAATATACTTATCACTAAATAAGAAAAATGTGCTGAAAATATGAACGAGGACAATTGCACTAATCAAGATTTAAATCAGAATTTTAATTAGAACACACTAAAATATTACAGTCCTACAACAAGTGCTTTAATTTTAGGGTTTTATCAAAGTTTAAAAAAATGAGCAACTCTTTTTTGTCGTGAGACAAAATTAGTCCTTTCATCGACGTTTTCTCAAAATACGGATGAACTCATTTTAAAAATTTAAAAGCCATTTTTCCATAATTGATTAAAAAAAAATAATAGAGTACATGGTCTTAAAATTTTGATTAATCGGCCGCGCTTTTAGAAAATATTCCGTGTATGTATTAGGCATATGTGTTCCTTTTTCATTAATGTGTAATAAAAGAACTTCTTCAAAATTGAATAATCTGCAATAGTTTCTATTATTATGACGCTCTATGGCAACTTTAAATCTCTCATAAGTTAATATATTGATTTCATACTAATTGTAAGTTGATTATTTATACATGCCGGGAAGTGCATACAACTTGCCTTGAGGCAAAATGCCACTTACAACTAGTTATATTATTAATTACTTGCATATGAACATGAGAGAAATTTAATAATTTAATATCTTATTGGCTGATGAATAAGTTCATTTGTATAGTTCGCAATAATATATTCTACTTTGTATAATATCAATTGTTAATTATTGAATATTATTTTGCTCCAAACCTTATTTTGGGTTAGCAAGTTTATGATATTACCACAGTTTAATTTAAGATATTTATTGAAATTATTATCTCATAATTATATTTTAACATCTTAATATCTCAACAGAAATCGAAGAGGCTAAATTCAATGATAGCAGTTCCAGTGAACACTATTATATTTGTACAACTTGTGGCAGGTAATAATTAGCTGAATCGTAGATTTATTATCTAACTTGATCTCAATATTGTTAAAGTCGTAGATACATAAACAACAAATACACTCTAATTTCTGGATGTTTTTTTTTTATAGGAGCTTTCATGATGAAAACATTCTAAATGATCATCTGTTGACGCATACGTCATTAGATACTTTCAAATGTTTGGTTAGTAATTGTTCAATGTATTTCAATACTGCGTCTGCTTTAAAAATACATATGGAGAAACATAATGAGGTTAAATATTACATTTGTCCATCATGTCCAAAAACCTTCAAAACGAAAGTTAATTGCCGCGAACATACGGAGCTGCATAAGGAAAATGAAAATCTTGTAAGTATTTTATTTGTGGGTACTTCTACATTTCTACTTTTTCTGATATTTTATTAAGGTTTGCTTTTTTTGCTATAGAACGTTCTGGTATTTTATACATTATTACTGCATCAATTTTACTCTTTCTATATGTATATTTTTATTGTAACTTTATATTTAAATCTATGTTTTAAAACGATTTTTTTTTTAAATAATTGATTACTAAATGATTTTTATACGAACCTGTTTGTTTTGTAGGAACAATATACAATCGCAACAAATACAAAATTACAGAAAAATTGTGAATCGATACAAAGTCAACCCACAGCTTTCACACATTTTTTGATTACTTCAAATGATAATATAATTACCACTAAACAAGAAAAATGTGTTGAAAATATGAAAGAGGACAATTGCACTAATGAAGATACAAAACAGAATTTTAATTCAGCTATATTAGACCATGTGTTGCCGATAAGCAATTGTATAATGCTGCCAAAAGATTTAAATATTATTACTAAAAGTGATCATTATTCTGGGGAAAGAGTTGTTATTGATAATACTTCAGCAAACTTATTTCAAGTTTCTGGAATTTTGCAATCTACAGAAGGCACAAATATGCAAAATGTAGTATCAGTCAAAAGTGATCCTAATATTAGTTTAAATGATTATTCAAGTGAGGAGACTAGTATACCACTGTTCACATCCAACAATCAATCAACTTTGTTGGTCACCACAAGTAAGATTTAATATTTAGTATTAAGTTAAATTGGGTTTTTATTAACAAATCAATAAATTCAGTATATAGTAGTAATACCTTTTTGTTGTCCTAATTTCAATTATTGTGAATTTTTAGAATCTTTAAATGATCAACCTGTTAATGCACTGAGTAATATGAATGCTAATGCTCAAGAGGTAAATAGATTTTATGTTGTATTTATTTTTGCCATTAAATCACCTAATTTTTAATCTTAAAATTTATTTGAAAGATGTCATCTATGTTGAAATTAATTTAATTTCAATATAGATGTGTGCTCAAATATTATTATTAAATTTATTTAAAAAGATTGTTTATTACGTTATAATATTTTGTTTATTAAAATCATATTTTAACATTTTTCTTTATTTTTTTTTTATTAACATGCTTGTTTTCCAGAATGTGGCCTCATATTTAATCAGTAATTTACAATATTCAAACCAGAATTCTACCAACAACGATGAAGAAACTGAGCAAAATGCATCACTCTGCAAATACTTTAATGAAAATTCAGTTAAATCACCTGTTAATGTTATCACAAATAACATATTACTAAAAAACCTTATGGTAAATTTCCAAAATCAATTTGATATTTTATGTCTTGATGATCAAGGGAGTTCATTAGATATTTTGGGAGAAGAAAACTGCATTCAGGACGAACAAAATTATATTTCAGAACAACAAGATCAAATGATTATATCGCCAGCATCACCTTCATTCACACACTCCTGTGTTGTAAGTGAAAAATGTAATATTACTAAATATTTACATCTATATGATTTCTATAAATCTATAGAAAGAATTATTATAGAATGCATAAAACAGTTATCATTATTTTTAAATTTCAGGATGATGTTCAACCAGTTGATTTTAGTTGTGGCAACAGAGAATCTAGTGAGGTATTTATAATGATTTTATTGAAATAATTCTTTATTTATAATTTTCTTAAATTTTTAGCAAGTGGAATGCCAAAATGATCAAATTGATGAATTTGGTGAAAATGTTCAATGTACCGGAAATGTTCTGTAAGTTACAAATTGCTTCAAAGCATTTTATTCTATTTTGGAAATTAATGAAATTTACATCAACTTGATTTTGTTGTTTGTTTTTAAATGTTGCAACAATAATATAATATTATATAATATATAATATAATATAATGTATAATTCCATTTGTAAAATGGAAGAGCATTCATGTTTTCATTTATTAAAAAAATAGATTTCTGGTTTTACCTTGCAACTTCTAATTTGTTTCTGTAATATGCTAGAGGCAGTTTTCACAAGGTGACAAAAAATTCATGACATGAAATTTCAATTAAATGATATCATCTGAATTCAAATTGTATCAATAATAATCATAGGGCTAACTGAAATAGATTACAAATTTAAATCAACAAATTTGACATAATACAGGACTTATTGAAAAATTCCTAAATAATGCAATTGAAGCAAAAATACAGTTGAAGTTTTAGTGATAAATCAACCAGGATAATTTTTTTTTCCTTAATATTAACAACACTAAGTTTATTATTTCAAATATCTATAATTATTTTCAGTAATTATAGTATATAAAAAAGCACTCAAAATTTCAATTTAATATTGTTTTCATTATATATTTACAAAGCTGAGAGAAGCTAAAAAAGTAATATAGTGTGAAATTTTAAGTATACATTGGAAAAAAATTGGATGTATGATAATATTCTTATATAGTATTCAGACATGATTCAAATATATTTTTTATGTGGTTTGCAGACAAGAAACATCTGAAAATGACATGGGCAGAGGAAGAAACATGGAGCCTCAATTTGAAATGAAATATGTGCCTGATATTGAAGACAATTATAGCACAAACTCATTAAGAACATTTTCACCGAATGTCAATGAAAATCAATTAGATGAAACAGGTACAGATTCAGATAAATATATAAGATGCAAAACTAAAAATCTTAGTGCATCAGAGCAAGCATTTCTAGACTACATTAACAATCAGGTAATATTATTATATTTCTGATAATTATTTAATACAATAATAATATATATAATATTGCTGAAAACATTAAAAAATTCAAACTGATAAATTAGTACATTCTAAAGTTTATTGAATAATATAATGTGTTATGCGTTTTAGAAGATTTTAATTTAATATGTTTTAAATGTGTTTAATTTGTCAATATTTCATAATTTATTCAAAATCGGGTGTTGATAGGAGTCATTTATTCAATGTAAATCACTTGCAATAAAATGAAAACTGCATAGATATTCTTAATGGTTGTACGTTTTTTAATTTTATTTTGGAAAACTAAACTTCGAAAAATATGTAAATGCTGATTTTATACAAATGTATATTCTCATCTCTCACTAAAAGTCAAAATAAATTTACATGATTCACTTCTTGAATGTTATTTCAGTTTCCTTGCCATTTGAAGTCATTGAGAATTTGTACCTGTCACAAAACTATGTAAAGATACAGCTATAAATAATATTAGGAAAAGTTTGTATTTGTTTATGGTTGCAAATGTAAACGCTAATTTTTCTTTAGTTGACATTTTAACAAATTACCATTTGATAGAACTCAATAATGATTATGGTTTATATTGCTATTCAGTTAGAAGAATATTAAATGATAATACCTTGCTATTATCTAATTTACCAATTTTACTGGTTTAATCAGTAGTTTTGAGTATAGGTTTTTAATCACTCACATTCTTGTTTACATCTTGTAGTAAAATACATACTAATCTTAGAGTATAATTTAACAGATTATATGAGAGTCCATAGTATTTTGAAAAAAGATGATTGGAAATAAGCAGAAATATGAATATATGAATATAAATTTTAATTTATCTTGTAATATGCTATTTATCATATGTTTTCCAACTACTTTCGACATAATTTAGCTATTCTTATTCACTCTTTTGATAATCAATCATATTTAATTTATTTAATTGGTATCAGTTTTGACTATTTTTACGTTAAGAGAATTACAACTTGTATATTACATAGACTAACTAAACAAGCGTTTTGACAGTCTTAATAATACTGTTGTAATTTTTTTTAAATTCGAGATTTAGTTTTTTTTGCAAGATCTGGAATCATCACCATTAATTCATTAATTTTGACTATACACTAATTTCCAGAAGTATTTTCGGTAATGTTACATGAAACCTAACTATTTTATTGCTAATAAAATTTTGAAATTATCTACCACCTATTCACAAATTTCAGCTCTCACAAAATTTTTATTTAATACTTTTAAAATGTGAAGCTCCAGAAATTTATAACTCAATGCCTTTTACTAATTTTTTAGTGGATATTAACGCTAGTGTGACAATATATTAATTTCTTTTGCAGCACAAAGTAATGACTTTGAATAACACGGCACAGCATCCAAATAAATGTTCTTATTGTGTGAAATCATTTAAAAAACCATCAGATTTGATCAGACATATCCGTGTGCATACAGGTGAAAAACCGTACCCATGCAATGTATGTCATAAGAAATTTTCACTAAAAACATCTTTGGATTGTCATATGACTACCCACAATAAGTCAAATAAAACAGTAGTTTGCAGTGTCTGTAATAGTTCATTTAGCACCAAAGGAAGTCTGAAGGTGCATATGCGATTGCATACGGGTGAGCTGACTTTAATTAATTAATCTACAGCATACCTAATGTGACTAATTTATACTATTTAATATGTACTCACAATGTATCAAACATTTTGATACATTTTTTTTATTACACTCTAATTGCCCAATAGTTACTCACACTTTAACGAAAACAGTTTTATTCAAAATTTTTGTATAATTTTATAGCTAATTTATGAAATTTATCATGTTTTGGATTATTTAGATATTCATTTTCGATATGGATATATCTTTTGAAAGAAATAAGTACTCTATAAACATTTTTATAGGTTCTCGACCATTCGAATGCCCTTTATGCAAAATGACATTTAGAACTTCTGGACATAAACGAGCTCATCTTCTAGTTCATTACAGAGGAGCCACCAGAGAAGGCAAAAATCCTAAAGGTACATTTGAAATACTTCATGATCGCATTGTGGATGGGGCACTTCTACTTCCTATTTTATGACTGTGACCCTAAAATTATGAGATTTTCATTTTTATGAAATGCGATAATACCATTAGTGAAATAGTAACTAATATGCATTCTGAATTATGATGTATAAACTTAGTGATACATAGCAACTATAACGGTGAAGGTTAAATAGTAAAGCTTTATTTGATTTGATACTATATGGATATGCCCTTATTTCATATTAAATATGACTTTATAATAATCAATATTATATAGTTAATTGGTGTTTCTACAATTTTATTTTCTTGTGAAGAGTTCATGATATATGTTTGTTTGCGAGGTAGTCATTTTTCTATCTATAACAAACTGCGCAAATTTGTTTTGTAAACTGTACATTAATTTCAGTTTATTTATTTTCACAGATATAATTACTAAAGGGAATAAGGTATTGAATATTATGGGACCACTTACAAGTAACATCAGCAATTATTCTCAAACAATTGAGAATGCGCAAATTGGTGATCATGAAACTGTTAGTGGCCTCAACTTTGGCGAAAATGCTGAATATTTATGTAAAAATTTGGATGTACAGTTACTTCAAGGCTCTTTTGAAAAATCAGTTTCCACAAAAGATTCTGTCTTAAAATTCAATACAATAAGTGAGCAAATATTGGCAGATACAACATCGCCAAAGAAACAGGTATCTAATATATATATTTAATTCTTAAACAATAAAATAAAATAATCATATGCTAAACAAACGCACTTTCTTTTCATTTGCGCTTAATAAAGGTTGTGTAGGTTTAGATTCAATTATAATAAATAAGAATTTATGTCATATAGGATTATTTACCTACATATAGCACATATATAAATATATACATATGTATATATATATATATATATATATACAGTACAGGCCAAAAGTTTCCGGACACATGAAAAATCTCATTTTTTGAGTTTTTAGCTATATTTTTCGTATAAAAATAATTTTATTCAAGTTAGTTTTGTACATTCTACGTAGTATTAATATTTAGTGACTGATTTGTAACCAATTTGTGAGAAATGACGGACTAATTAGCAATGAAAATGTTAAAATGTCACAGTCGATTGTCCTGAATATGACCACCCTTTGCTTTGATCGCTGCAGCGCATATTTTTGGTAATCTTTTGACAAGTTTTTGCAATGTTTGCGCAGGTATGTTCTTCCAGGACTCGTTAAAACAATTCCACAGGGCAGGGAGGCTGCTTGGATGCAAATCCTTCACGCGGCATTTAAGCTCGTCCCACAACAGCTCTATTGGATTAAGATCCGGCGATTGTTCAGGCCACTCAAAAAACCACTTCTGCGAGCAGTAAATAAACAAAAGAGATTGCAATTTGCCAAAACCCACTTAAATTGGACCATCAATCAATGGAAATCAGTTTTATGGACGGATGAGTCAAAATTCGAACTTTTCGGAAGTCATCGACGTAGGAAGGGTAATGAAAGACTCAATTCTAAGTGTATTTCGCCAAAGGTGAAGCACGGTGGTGGTTCAGTGATGGCTTGGGGTTGTTTTGGATTCAATGGAGTCGGATCGCTTGTCAAAATACATGGAACTTTAAAGAAAGAACAGTATCATAGCATACTTGAGCGCCACGCCATTCCATCTGGTTTCAATTTAATTGGTCCAAAATTTATTTTTCAACAAGATAATGACCCTAAACACACTTCCCGACTCTGTGCCAATTATTTGAAGCGAAAACAAGATGAAAAAATACTTCAAATAATGGATCTTAATCCAATAGAACTGTAGTGCATTTGTCTGACTGATTTGCTTCCAAGCAGCCTCCCTGCCCTGTGGAATTGCCTTAACGAGTCCTGGAAGAACATACCTGCGCAAACATTGCAAAAACTCGTCGAAAGATTACCAAAAATATGCGCTGCAGTGATCAAAACAAAGGGTGGTCATATTCAGGAAAATCGACTGTTACATTTTAACATTTTCATTGCTAATTAGTCCATCATTTCTCACAAATTGGTTACAAATCAGTCACTAAATATTAATACTACGTAGAATGTACAAAACCAACTTGAATAAAATTATTTTTATATGAAAAATATAGCTAAAAACTCAGAAAATGAGATTTTTTTCAAGTGTCCGGAAACTTTTGGCCTGTACTGTATATACTATTATATATATATATATATATATATATACATATATGTATATGTATATGTATATATATATCTATATATATAAAGTATACACAAGCAGACATTTTATATATTTCTAAGTAAATGCAGATATTATGAGGTATATTAACTGAGGTTGTTATTCTTAAAATATTTAAAGTTATCATTCCAAATACATATAATTTAATAAACATACATATATATGACGTATGTATGATAGGTTTAATCATAAAAAAAATTAAATTTGCTTATAATAGATTCAGAAGAAGTTACATATGCAGCAATGTGATATCTGTGATAAAACTTTTAAGAAGCCTTCACAATTAATGAGGCATAAGTTGATTCATACTGGGGAACGACCTTTCCAATGCAACGTGTGCTCTAAACATTTAATCAAAAAAATGGATTGGATACTCACATGAGGTAAGCAGCACATACCATAATATTAGTGAGCTATAAAAATTATATAATTATTATAACAATAATAAGGCCATCAATGCATTCAAATTATAATTTTTTAACCAACTAAATAATATCAAAGTGTATACTTAGTAAGGAATACTAATATCCCTCTAATTCAGGTTTTATCTAATCAATTATCTACATGTAGATAGATAGATATAAAAATTGATAAATGAAAAATTCTAATGTGAACAAGTGCCGACCATATAAAGATTGAAAAAAAATTGCTGGGTAGAACATGTATAAAGATAAAACATTTTTTTGGCTTTGGCTAATGGCGCTTTTATGGTTGTTCAATTTCAGTCGATTCGGAAATCTTATAGTTGTATGCACTTAAATAATATTATACATACAATATAAAATACAATGTACAATTTTGATTATTTTCAGACATCATACTGGTCTTCGTCCTCATGATTGTCCTTACTGTCCAAAAGCTTCTCTCAGAGGGTAATTTAAAAACTCACATTATCAGGTAAATTTGGGTTCAAATTTACACTTTATGAAGTTAGAAAATTGCCTTTGACTTTCTAATTTTTTGATTACTGTTACAGCGCATTTAGTAATCCTTTGAAAATTATTACATTAACAGTTTTGATTGCTCAGATTGCTATTATAGCTCTCAGAACACTCAGTTTATTTTTATATTGATTTTTATTCACCAGATTCAGAATTATATAAAATAATTAGAGAATAAAAAAGTGAAAATGACATTTTATTTCAGAACACACGGAATGTTTGACTTGATCAACCTAGCTTCTTTCAATGAACATCAATAGGAGAAAATAATCAATAAGAGTAAAAAAACTATTTTTTCTATTAAAATTCATCGATAAATGTTTATAATAATTAAATTGTTCCATGTTATATATGACAATATGTAACATCGTTTGTTGAAATTTTTAAAATGATCTATCAAGAAAATTGATGTGCAAAAAATATTACAATTCTTTTGTATATAAATCAATTTTTTTATATATTATACTTATGTCTTTAATTTTTACTTTTACATTTCTATTTAAATAGTAGTGCTGACACAGATACAATCTCTTCGATTAATTATTATGAATAGTAAAAACAGTAAAGTTTTCAGTAGCTTAATGTATTTTTTTTTATTAAATTTAGGCATTAGAATTTTTTACAAACAAATTAAAGTTTTCATAAATTATTCGATAACTTACATCTTTTCGTTTTTTTCTTATATTGCTTTGTTTTTTTTCAATTATTTCATTAAAGTAATCTAATTTCAAATGAGTATTTAACATATGGAGGAATATATTTTTCATTATGACTTATTAAAATACTCTAATATATTTAATCGAACATTATTCAATTTTTTCAGATTTCATTCCATTTACTGCTTAAAAATTAAATGGAGAATTAATGAGATTTTTTAATTTTTTATATTAATACTTATTATAATTATTACAATTATCTTTTAATTAACTTCTTGAAAAATGAGGAACAATTTCCCTTTTTGTCGACGGTTTGTCAAAAAACGGCCGACGCCGATTAATTTTTTAAACTTAAAAAGAAAAGCCATTCGATGTAACCAGTTAAGGATTATAGTTTTGTGCGGCGATCGGCTAAGCTGTTTTTTTTTTTATTTAGTAGAGAAGTCTAAAATTTTCGTTCAACTTTTAACAAATCCTGAACCGATTTAAAAATTCAAAAACTGTTCTTGGTTGGTATCGTACTGATTAGTTTTTGGTATAAATCTACTGGGCCGTTTCTTAAATAATTATTAACCCTTGGACTCCGAAAGGGTTAAAAAGTTTTAATTGCTTTCACATACACTAAAATCTCGAGAACGATATATAATGGCTAAGAGAGAAAGTATAATTGTATCTGTTTGTATATCTCTGTGTGATAATTCTGCATAAATATTTTAATAACATAGAAAATGAAAATTAAATTTGATTAAAACGAATACATCAAGTTTTTTTTATATTAAACTAGAAACATCAAGTTTTTTTTTATATTAAATTATGAATGTTAATATAATAATATGAACATTTTATTACATTCGTGCACATGTATTTTTACTATTTATATTTATATATTCGAATACTAGTATAACCTAAAAATAATAATAAAAATATGAATAACTTTTAAATAAACATTAATCGTCATCTAAGCAGCAGACGCATATTCAATGATTTATTCTGTTTAGACAATTTGTTGTTTGCAATTATGCGAGACCTTGAAGAACACGTTTGACAGTTATGAGTTCAAGGTTTATTTATTCGAATTTGTCGTTTTTTCTGGGTATATCGTTTACAGTTACATTTTCTTTAGTGCCCAATAATGGAACATATTCCTTCTGTAAGTATTTATGCTTACTACGCTTTATATCACCTAATTTTTATTAATCAATTTATTTGTCATAATTGAACGTAGATAAATGATTCAACAATGTTAGTAAAGCTTCAAGATCGAATTGGGAAAACTATTATTATCAAGACAATGGAGTGATTGTGTTTTCAAAATAAATTCTACTTACATCTATGCTCATCGAGTAATCCTTGCTTCTGCAAGTCCTGTTTTTGATGCAATGCTGTATGGATCCCTAGCTGAAGTTGATGTTATTAATATATATGATATTGATTGAGAAGCATTTAAGTGTATTGAGCTACATTTATACTGATAAAAGTTCTATACCTTCTATAGAAAATGCTTGTAATTACTCTATGCTTCGATAAAGTATATGTTACATCATTACAAGGTATTTGTAAAATCTATATAATGAAAAATCTATCAATTAGTAATGCATTGGAAATATTAGACTTTGCTATATAGTCATACATGATGATTTTTGATGAAAGCTGCAATGCAAGTAATTGCACACATCCTAAATATGTATTTTTGGAAACAGACTATCATCCGCATCCCTTGACAATGCTTGAAATAGCAAAGCAAGAAACAATAAATATTTCGGAAATTGATTTACTTGATATAATAAACAAATGGTATTTAAACGAATGTGATATTCAAGGAATCAACATATCTATGGATAGTGTTCAAAAAATACTAATTGATAGTGAAATTCTTCATAAAATCAGATTTTCATCTATGAGTATGAGTGATTACTCTAAAATACATTCTATAATTATCATTTGCCTCATGAGACTTTGATAAAAATGACGAATAATGCTCAATTAAGTAAAATAACATTATCACCTAGGAAGAAAGTTAACATAGTAT